GCCCAGCAACCCGAAACAACCCAGCCTAACCCGCCTCCTGCACCCAACCCACAAGCCACCCACCATATGACCACCCGTGCTAAGGCCGAGATCTTTTGCCCCAAACGCGTCCTAAACCTAAACACCGTTGCTAGCATATCCCCTATTCCCCCCACCTACCGTAGTGCCCTCAAAGATCCAAATTGGTACAATGCTATGTTAGATGAATATAATTCTTTGATCGCTAATAATACATGGGATTTAGTACCCCCCTCCCCAAACCAAAATATCATAACTGGCAAATGGCTTTTTAGATACAAACTTGGCCCTACAGGTGAACTATCCAAGTACAAAGCTAGATGGGTTGTCCGAGGATTCAATCAGCGTCATGGCATAGATTATGATGAGACTTTCAGCCCGGTGGTCAAATTGGCAACCATTCGGATCATTCTCAGCTTGGCTGTATCTCGTGGATGGCCAATCCACCAGCTCGACGTTAAGAATGCATTCCTACATGGTGTCCTCACAGAGACAGTGTACACGGCCCAACCATCTGGATTTCAGGACCCCACTCGACCCCATTATGTGTGCAAACTGAACAAGGCGCTCTACGGTCTGAAACAGGCACCCCGGTCCTGGTATCAGCGGTTCACTGGCTTCCTTCTTGCACTTGGCTTCCGTGGGTGCAAGAGTGACACCTCTTTGTTCACTTATGGTCAGGGGTCTCAGATGGCATTCCTACTTCTGTATGTTGATGACATTATTCTCACAGCTTCTTCACAGGAACTTCTGCAGCGGGTCATACAGCGGCTGAAAGGCGAGTTCGCAATGACGGATATGGGGGACCTACACTTTTTTCTTGGGATCAATGTTTAGCGCACATCTCATGGCATGTTCTTGACACAGACTCAGTTCCTCTATGACATTCTTGATCGAGCTGGCATGCTCAACTGCAAACCGGTCTCTACCCCGGTTGACACTCGGGGGAAGCTATCCGCCTCAAGAGGATCACCTGTGCCAAACCCCTCCCTATACCGCTCTATTGTGGGGGCTCTTCAGTATCTCACGTTCACTCGCCCTGACATTACATATGCCGTCCAGCAGCTCTGTCTATTTCTTCATGATCCTCGCACGTCTCACGTCACGACCATGAAGCGGGTATTACGATACCTTCACGGCACACCATCACATGGCATCTCCATCTCTAAGTCTCACACAGACCATATGCGGGCCTACTCAGATGCTGATTGGGCTGGCTGCCCGGACACCCGCCGATCCACATCCGGCTATTGCATATTCCTTGGCGATAATCTCATTTCCTGGTCATCTAAGCGCCAGCTCACCACGTCCAGATCCAGTGCCGAGGCCGAATATCGAGCAGTAGCCAATGTCGTAGCCGAAGTCAGTTGGATACGCAACCTCCTCCTAGAACTCCAGCAACCACTTAGCCAATCCACTCTTGTTTTTTGCGATAATGTGAGTGCTGTCTACCTCTCTGCAAATCCCGTCAAGCACCAGCGCACAGAGCACATTGAGGTTGATATACACTTTGTTCGAGATCGTGTGGCTCTCGGCCAGGTGCGAGTACTCCATGTCCCTTCGTTCACTCCAGTATGCTGACATCTTCACGAAGGGCCTTCCATCCATTATTTTTTCAGAATTCCGGGAATGCTTGGGAGTTCGGCGTTCATCACCAGTGCCGTTGGGAGCATGTTAAATATATCAAGTATATATTTAGTATATTTTGTATATAGTAGTTTCCATGTATTGTATAGTCCTTATTTATCATAGCTTTCTAACATAATAGGTTTTCTAATATAACTAGGAAACCTCTACTATATATACTCCCTTGTATTCACACATTACAATCATTGGAATATATCAATTCTTCAATCACCCTACCAATTCTTAATAACTTTGAAAACCTATTCATGGAATATATGGGGAATATAATTTTCTCTCTTTCAGATTATTTGTTTAGGTTTTTCGATGAGCCAAACAAAATAAATTTTTATCATTCATATTGATATAAAATATTTTATATAAATCTATTTTGCATTAAAAAATATACTTAATAACTGAAATTATTTAAATTTGAATATAAAAATTTGTGGATAATACAGTGCATGCATACAAATGAAATAACTTCCTTGACATGAAACACCTAGTGGCCCAGTGTTTGACCAATGAAAGATAGTGGACTTAAAAAGAGGTTTAATGAATGTGCACCACGTTTGGATGATATTATATACTCCGTAATTTATAAATGGGAATAATAATTGTACGGAGAATTACACACACAAACACTAGTTGCCAAACAGAGATGAGTAATACTACGTATGATATATTTATCCACAAATTATATATATGCAACTCACTTACGCAACTTTTAGCCGACTGTGCCTATTTGTTTGCATGCTTAGCTTAACTTAGCTTAGCTTCTCCCCTATTATCATGACATCCATAATTTCATGGACCATGCTACACTTACACCAAAAAATATACCCCATTTGTACACCACAGGTTTGCACAAACATTTCGATGGTTTACACCGACACAAGTGTTGGTGCGTTAATAAAAATTCACACGGACACAAATGTTGGTGCGTTTAACAAAAATTAGTTTTACACCAACACAAAATATTGGTGCAAAACTGCGGGGTACAAATCTTGGGGTATACATAGCATAATCCATAATATAAACGTCGATGGTTGGGAATTTGAAGGATGGGTGGGACCATTTTTCAAGTGGGGTGATGTTTAAACATTTAAACAACCACTAGTTTTGATTACATTAGAAATCAATGTCATAGGATGATCCGAGAGTGCTCTAGTTAACTGTTTGTAAAATTAACAGTTTTTACCTCCTAACCTCCCAGTAAATTTGTCATCCCGCTTCGACCCGAAGACACCTCTCACTACCTTCAATTGTATCTCCCAAATTACTTTTGATTTTGGAGTCAAAATTTAATTTCCTAGCAAATGAAATAATCAAAAGGACCAACACCTAATGTACCATGAATCGCTGGGTATACACTTTCAGACAAACAATCGAGTTCAACAGGCTATATAGTGTTTTTCATACGGACAACTGGGTTAAGGACAAACGAGCTGCTATACATAAACTTCTAGACGCACATCGAAACAGAGGTGAGAAAAAACCTGACTATAATACCATGATAAAATTTAGAATGTGATAGTGATCACCAAACTCGACTATAAGCCACCTGGGTTGTAAAACCACATAAAAAAATTAAATCTAGTCTATTACTTAGTTCAATCCAAGAATTTATATACCCATTTCTTTTTACTTTTCTAATGTGGGACATACTCTCTAAGATGTAATATTAAGACGTTGAAAGTTCGATTACTATCTTCATCCCTTTTTTTTATTACTTTTTGCAATCAAAATTGATGAACTTTTAGTCTTTTACCATTAATTAAATAAAATTGGTATTAGATATTGATACAAAAATAATATTATTAAATTTTTTTAATAGTATTTTCAATATATTGTCTTATCTAATCAATACACTTTATACGATAATTTTTTCTAAGTTAGATGTCAAAGGTAAAAAATAATTAACAGTAAAATGTCAAAACTAGACAAATAAATAGTGATCGATAGAAGTAGTATACAATAAGTAGAATTATGTTTAATTGAATTAAATAATGATAGTGCTAAGGTGTTAAAATCAAAGTGTGCATATGAAATTAGGGTAAAGCTATTTGTACCCCATGTTTTGTACCCCACTTTATACCCCGTAGCTTTACACCAACACTTTGTGTTGGTGTAAAACTAGTTTTTGTTAATGCACCAATATTTTGTGTCCTTGTAAATTTTTGTTAACGCACCAACACTTGTATCGGTGTAAACCATCAAAATGTTTGTGTATAACTGCGGTGTACAAATAGGGTACAATTTGTGGTGTAAGTGTAGCATGACCCTTTTTTTCTTTTCCTTTTTCTCTTTTTTGCTTCAATGTCTTCTTTCTCTTTTATTTATAGAATGGTAACTCCCTAAGCTCATAAAAAACACTTTCTTTTTATGTTTTCAACTAGGGGTGGACACGGTACGGTTCCGGGACGGTTCCGGTTCCGGAACCGTCGGTTCCGGTACCGCCACCCCTCGGTACCGGTGCCGGTACCGGTTCCGGTTCCGGTACCAGACTGGTCGGTTTCGGCCACCCCCTATTTTTTTTTGCTTTTTAATAAATTTTTAAAGTGTAAAATTGTAAATGTGCAATTGTTAAAGAAAAGGATGAAATAAAAAAATTTAAAAATGAAATTGATAAAGGAAAGAATTAAATAAAAAAATAAAAAAAAATTAACAACGGTACCGGAACCGGAACAGGAACCGCCGGTACCGAAAATTGGGTACCGGAACCGGTACCGGAGCGGGCGGTACCGGTACCGGTTCCCGGAACCGGTGGAACGTCCCGGCCGGCGGTGACGGTGGTGGGTACCGGCGGTACCGTTGCCGGTCACAGTACCGTACCGGTACCGTGTCCACCCCTATTTCCAACACACATCTACTCATTTTTTGATTTTATATTTTAATTGTTGTAATTATATATCTTCTCCAATTTGATTCTTTTAAATATACATTCATATAAATTTTTAAATATCAAATCTAACAATTTTTGCGTAATTCATATTCATCTAATATGCTATGATAAATAATTAATATCATTTTATAATATAATACGAAGTATAATATATTTAAAATAATAAATAAAATAAAGTACAAGTGGGACCTATGAATAATTAAATGTGTTTGTTATGAAAATATACCGTTTAATTCCTTAAACTATTAGTCTATTATGAACTTAAATTAGCAGGTTTGATGATTAGTGGTTCATCAAGAAATAGAAAATTGAAAAAAAGTACAATGATTAGTCATAATAAGTATCCCAATTTGCTTGGGTAGTGCGACACTTATGGATATAAAATAGAATTTCCACATTACACCCACTAAAGTTATGGTTTGAAATATAAGTATCAAATTATTTCACATATTTTAGGCAATTCATTCCATTTTGGGGGAGACATGGGGCATGTATCTATGAGAACACGTTACATTTTCTCTAAATGCATAAGGCGTATTTAGAGTTTTTGTCCCATAAACAAAAATTTATTTTAGTAAAATTAAAATAAGATTTGGTCTAAAGTGGAATACTCCATCCAAAAATATTGGACTCGTCCATTTATTGAAGTTTTAAAGGTTTATTCGTTACCCTATAATTGATTGTTACTCATTCTTAAATTTAAATTCTGAAATTCGGAATTTAAAGTGGATGTACTACCTCGATAATATAAGGATGTTTTTTTATTTGACAACAACATAAAAAATTAAAGTTACAGTTTAAAAAAGTTATTTAACGACAACATTTAGTTTTAGCATTTTAAAATATAAAATTTTATCTAAAACATTAATGCTAATCGAAAACGATAATTCTAAATAAGACCTACTTAAAAGTGAAGTCTATTTTTGGTATGGGTCAAGTATGTCTCCTTTTGTGTATATCTAAAATGGGTAATTTATTCAAAAAAGTACGAGTTAATTTTTTAACTATAAGAAATTGAATGTCAACTAATAAGCCGTAATTATGTACACCCTTCGCCATTGATATGGATTATTTTACTAATTAGGCATTAATCTATTTGTACTGCATAGTTTTGTAACTTTTGTTTAACTTTTTGCATGATTTGGTTTGAGAAATTAGAAAGCAAATATGTAGAAAGGGAAAAAAAATTAATTAACAGTAAAATTCAAATCTTGTACAGATTTTGTTTAGTTAGTGAGAAAGTTGTCCAAGAGACACATAAAATTACTCATTCCGTCCTAAAATATTCTTCTTAATTGTTATTCACATAGTCAAATTTTAATTATTTTGTTACCTATTCTTGCTAGTTATTTGATAAAATAATATAGTTTTATCACCTCTTATTTTGTAGAACTCTCATTGTTTAGCTTGTGTATTATTTTTTTTATTTTTCTCTCTTTTCCTCAACAAAATGAAAAGAAAATACCTTTTCTATTTTTCTTAATTTTTCTTTTCATTTTCTTAATGCTCCCATGTACTTAAAAGATTGCCACAGTTTGATTTTTTTGGTCAAATTGTGCCCCATTCAAAGTAATTAAATTAAATAAAAATTTGATATTTCAAAATTATATTTTAAAGTAAAATCAATTTTACTAAATTTACATTATAACTTAATATACTTTTTTTATAATTCACGGTCAAAGGGTACCAAAATTTGACCAAAAAGGTCAAATTGTGGTAATCTTTCAGGCTGGGAGGGAGTAATAACTTAACACCAAAGTTCTTTCTTATCTTTTTTTCATTTCTCTTCCAATTTTTCGAATCAAATGAAGAAAAAGATAATTTCAAGGGTAAAGTGTTTATAATGTTCCTATATTTTTCAAAAGTGTTTATCAAGTCTCTGAATTATTTCAAGTGGTTATAAAGTCCCTATATATTTTCCTAAAAGTGTTTCACATGTCCTTAAATTATTTTTAGTGTTTATCCATTCCTTATTCTTTTAAACAAGTGCGTTAGTGGTCTCTTTGGTGGTTTTTTCAGACCAAACCTCCTGAAATTGTTGTAAGAATTGGCATTTTATCATAAATTTATCAAACAACGTGTGCGTATTGTTCAAACAATTTCCACGCACTTGATCTGAAAAATGTCACTGAAAAGACTACTAAAGCACCACTTTGAAAGTATATGGACTTGGTAGGAAGTAAAAATACTCCGTAATTTGGAGACCTATGGAGCACTTTCAATCATATACGGTATATATATGGATATAGTAAGTACTTAAAATAATTCAGGAACTAGGAAAACACTTGAAAAAAAATATAGACTATATAAGCATTTTACCCTAATCAAAGGATGAAGTCAAATTTAGTTTGAAGGTTCACACAAATTTTATGAATCTCAGTACATAAATGCCATGGAAGAGTTAAGCGTTTTGCAAAATAAAAAAAGATCTACTTCTAAGTTATAAAATGTGCGAGAAAGTACATTTTACATGTTGACTTGAGGACTAAAGAAACACAATTCCAAAGTAAAAGATTATTGAAAAATTGATAAGCTTCTTCATCCATTCACTTTTCAAAATAAATTTCAAGTGCATACTCTAACTTTCACCAATTTCTCAAATATTTTGCTTACCTTGTGAAGAGTCCAATGTTTTAAAAATCGGACCAGACGTCGACTCGGACGAGGTAGTTGGTCAAGGGTTGACCGGTCGAACCGGGGGTCAACGACCCGGTCAACTATATTTATAATAATAATATTTTATGATATATTAGATATTTTTATTTAATAAAATATTTTAATTTATGTTATTATTTCTACATCTCTTTTTTTCCATCTCTTTTTTAATATCCTTGTACATATGATATTTCACACCTTCGATTTTTATTTTATTATTTTTATTATTATGAAAAGTTAATAATGAATCTTTAACAAATACTTAAATAATAAGGCGATACTCATATTTTCAAAAATTAAAGACTATATATTTTATTCTTATATACATATGAAATGTTAAAGTTAAAATTTAGTTGATTAAAATGATTGAAAAATAAAAAATATAGCATATTAAATTATAATTAATAATATTACTTAATTTTTAAAGAAAACAATTTTTTAAATATAAAATATACATAGTGTATTTATTTTCAAATAAAAATTAAATTATTC